AGCGAACAATACTGAATCTGTAGGCGGAACCGATTTTCTTGGCCCGAAAAACCTACACAATGCCATTCCTCAGCCCCTTCAGCGTGGCCAGAAGCCAGTGATGATCCTTATATTTCGCTAGCAAATAGTTGCCGATCAGCTCCCAGTTCTGGATTACGAATAGCGCCTTCTCCATCACCATATTGGGCACCGATTCCGGGTGGGCGATAGTTGGTCAATTACGGGGCAGCTACTTACTATCAATCAAATCGGGCAATGCGCCCCGGTTCAACTCGACTGCTGCAGAATCGATAAGATGGTCCCATATGCGGGTGAGTCTGCCAAGAGCAGAGTACAGCCTCCGATTATGGGCAAGACAGCTGACGAGTGATATCGGGGCGGGAAGTTGGGCGGAAACCTTAAACGAGAACATTAAAGGACTCCGAATTTTTTTGGGGGAGGAAATCGATCGAGAAACATTACCGCTATTGAATATCACTATTGGAATAGTTTTCTGTAAGGGTGCCACAGAACTGAACAACAGCTTAAAGGTGTTAAGAAGCCAAAAATTAGCATATCCGGCATCGAAACTAAAGGGTAACTGCGGAAAAATAGGGGGATTTACGCAGCGAAGAGCCAAACATTTCAGGAAAAACGTACTCTTTCTAGGCCAAAGTCGAATTTTTGGGCATCCGGAATTTGGAGATTCGCTAGTTTTCACGGCATCCATAGTCCTGTAGTCCCCTGAGTAAAAACGATAAGGAACATCAGAAAATTTGCTCCATACTTCGGTTTGCGCAAAAACACGAAAAACTAAACAAAGGTTCCGAACAAACAGCAAAAGCAAAAAGCCTACGACACTCGCGATTCCCAAGCCGTCTCCAATCCAAGTACTAACCGAGCCCAACGTTGCTTAAAGGTACACTAAGGTCTCGTTGGTTTGGTTACCGGCCGGTAACCGTCCGCGGGATAGCAAACAGGGTTACGGTAGGCGCTCGCCGCCGAGCAAAACCGAACCCTGACCGCCAGCTTGGGGCAGCGCCCTGGACTACTAGACCAAGGGAGAGACGGGAAGGCTGAAGAGGGGAGGCGATAAGAAGGGGCTGGGTTGGTTGCGGCAGAGAGCCCAAATTTCCTACCGCAACCGAACTTTTTGAACGAGATTTTAGTGTACCTTTAACTTGGCAGATCGGACGGGATGCCGTGCTTTCAACGTGGTATGGTCGTAGGCGGTGGTGGTGTTGGTCAGCTCCTGGGTAAACCGTTGGAACGTTGCCTGCCTGCCCCTTTCTAGTCTTCTTTGAAAGCTGGGCTCGTCGGATTTTCACGCCTGATATCAGGCTTGCCTAGGTTTAAAAAACTAACGATAACGGAAATACACTAAATAGCTCTAGCGAGGCTAGAAAAAAAGCAGTCTTTAACCTTCTCTATGTCTGCTCTTTCTCTCTCTCTCTCTCTCTCTCTCCCAATTTTTGCGCTATTTTTGCGGGGGGCGAGAATATTGGTAAAATATTTGCTTTCGGATATTTGAACATGGGCTCGGGGGGTGCACTCCCATTCCTTTGAATGGTCCCGGCAACACAATCCTCTGCGCCCCCAACAGTTCCCTAAAATGGATTTTTTTCGAGGAATTAAAATAATTCCTGCAAGCTGTTGGTATTCCCCATTCATTTTTGCTACTTTTTACAACCCCTTAATCTTCTATTAATTCCTCAGGGATGGACGTGCTGAACGCGCGCTACTGGATCAAGGAGAATATGACGTGGGCGCAGTACGAAGTGAGCAAGCGGTTTTAGATTTACCTGGTCATGGTATCACATCATAAGAGAGAATGCCTTCTAAAGGAACAGACAAGGCGTGGTTATGGATTTTTTATGGATCAGCTACGCTACTTTTCGTTGCGTAATGAAATACAGTCCTTTGCCGGCGGCGGCGTGCGCGTTGCGTTCCGCGGCGCGTCGTGGACATGGAATCCAGCAGGAATCCATAGCAAAAAAAATCCAAAATCGTGTCTTTCCGATCCCTTTAAACGGAAATTGTAGCACTCGCAAATTCTAATGCAAAATTTTTGATGCGCACCGTTTAAAGGGACGAGCAAGGCACGACTATCAAATTTTTCTCGTCCGCGCCACGTGAGGCACAGAGACTCCTTGCGTCAGCATGCACGTCGCGTGCCGCGGGTTCGGAAAATCGAATAAAATTCTTAACCGAAAATGCTGTATTGTCGAGTGCTCTATTTCCAGGATGCCGGCGATTACAGTGTCCTCGATATTTTTCGCACGCTCTACTGGGCTTTTCCGATGCTGTTGTTTCGGTTGTTTTGGGAGGCTTGTGTCGGTGAGTATTGACGTATCATTGAGTACTCTTGTGGCTTCAATTTTTTGGGTTTTTTTAGCATTAAAGGGTTAGGCACGGCATGGCTTTGGATTTTTTGACTAGGATTCTTGAAAATCAGAATCACGAATTTAAATTCACTATAAAAAATACATTCTCGGCCTTGCTCGCCCCTTTAAAAATCCAAAACCCAAACACAAAAATTGTTACCACGTGGCCAACCCGGGGGCCCTAACGAATCCCGGATTGGTGTGTTGGGTCGGTGGGGCCAGCGTGCGCACAGGGCTTCTGTCTATTTCTCTCTCACTCTCTCTCTCTCTCTCTCTCTCTCTCTCTCTTTCACCTGGGCCACCTTCTCTCGCCGGGGCGGAGATGAGGGCTCGACACACGACCCACCTTTCCCCGCTTCCCCCTTAGAAACCCTCCAGTACACAGACACACCAATTTTCGGCCAACGCGCTGACCAGTGCGCTTCGCATAATTATCCCCATCCGCCCATTCTACCCCCCGACTGGCCCACTAACCTCGAGCCAAATGGCTGCCTCCAGGCGAACCGAATTTTCCGACTTTCCGGCTCAATTCAGGGATGTTATTGATGCATGACTGTACGCGATATGTTTCTCGATTTTAGTTTATTGTAAATTAGCTTATTTTAGGTTCACTTAAAAATTTACTCATTTGTCGAAATTCCGGTTCTAGATTAATTTATCTGACTTCAGCATTTATTATTATTTTTATAGTAGTCTTTTTACTTTCCGAATTCTGAAAACGAGTCATTTTTAGGCAAAGCAAAATGTCATTTGTAACCTAATTTAATTTAATTTAAATTTCAACTTAATCATTTTTTAGCGTACGAAAAATCATTTCAATTTTTTGGTACTTTTATACTTAAAAAGAACGTGTAATGTTTTGAAATGAACGTAGTGGCTAATAAAACTTACCGCAAAGGACAAATTGAAAGAAAGAATCAAGAAAACTAAGCTATTTTTGTGGAAAAATCATAAATAATTTACTTTTTTTGGCGTTTTCAATTGGTATAACAGTCAATGCTTTTACTACGCTTCTCCGGCAAACCAAAACCGGATAAATTTTAGATTTTTCTAGCTTTTTTCGAGCATGTTCAAGTTCAAGCTCAAGTTCTGACTCAACGTCGATAGTCAAGAAGAAGAAGAAGAAAAATACGTATCACGAGTTTCATAAGCCGATGATTCTGCCGTTAAGCCTCCTTTGATTCATCAGAATTATAACGCCCCCTTAAATGCTCGACTTTAAATAGCAATTCATGGGAATTTCTGGCTTGCGGTTTCAGTCCATTTCCCGGCTCGTTAAGTTTTGGTAGATGGCCAAGGCGAGCGCGGCGACTATTAAAGCGATCGAGGCCAACTCCAGCCTGTGCCGTTATCTATCGCACTCTCTCGCTCTCTCGCTCTCTCTCTCTCTCTCTCTCTCTCTCTCTCTCTTTCTCTCTCTCGTTGTTATCACAGCTGGACCCGGGGCGTGAAAAGCCGCAAGTTACATGCTCAGCGACCAGCATTCACGCTAGCTTTTCGACGCTTTCAGACCGCTGGATTTGCATTCAAAATTATTTTCTGTACAACCAAAACAAAAACTTGCTGCATTCGGGACCGAATTAGCGATCCTGTCTTTCCAAATGTCAACATTCTAAAGGGTTTTGGAAGCTTCAAAAATCTCCCTTTAGACGGTATGCCAAAAGCCACACGACGCTCCTAGGTACACCTATAAGCTGGGGTGGATACCTAGGGGATATGCGTGCATTGGCGTGACGCGTAGCTGTCGATACCTAATCTACAATTCAGGTAGATTAGTGTGCTTTCAAGCCACGGTTCTTTTGCATTATCGGGGGGGGTATCAGCGGGCAAATCAACTTTCAACTTTTAACTTAACTCAACTTTAACTTTAACTTTTTTCTTTAGTATCCAAATGAATATTATTCCGAAGCCTTTTTTTACTATTTCTCAACCCAAAAAAAGGTACGGTTCTTTAGGATTCCCGGGGGGAAAGTATTCCCGGGGGGGGAAAACAAATTTTTTTCGGCGAAAGCCTAGATTTTTGTATAAATTGCGGATGCGTTTCTAAATTGTTTTTAACTATCCCTGTGCATAAAAACTACACACATTTTAACCAAAAAAATGTAAAAAATTAAAAATTAGGTCGAAAAATAGACCCAAAATGACCAAATTTTCGACTTTTTCAAACATTTTTCTAAATTTTTCTGAAAGTTATTCTGCTTTAAATATAGTTAAAACTTACTAAAAACAATTCGAAAACACTTTATATTTGATTACTAGGTCAACCGGGACCACCAGGAAAAAAATTGGTTTCCCCGGAATACTTTCCCCCCCCGGGAATCCTAAAGAACCAAAGGTACAAATTTTTATTAAAAATACAAAAATGGAATTTTTTGAGCACAATTTCGAATTTAAGGAGTTTTTTAGATTTTCGAAAACGACTTATTATCTAGATTGTTAGCGCACAATTTGTGATTGTCCTCCAATATTTCGTCCGTTACTTTTCTGTGTCCAACCCCACCAGATTTCATTGATTTATGCGATTCATTTTGCTAGATGGCCGCGTTATTCGACGCAGCACTATGGCTGCCGCGTAACGTCACTTGGGCGGGCGTGCCGGCCAACGCCGCCGACCTTCTCTATCCCCTATATTATGCAATGCCCTGTGTGCTGTTCCGCATTTTGTGGGAGGGTCTTGTTGGTGGGTGAAAACAAGGGCTAAACTGTAAATACGAGCCGAACCGGCCAAAACGCATGTCAAAAACGGACAAATCAAGAAAATGCATTAAGCGCACAGGGTAGAGGCGTACGGTGTAGCCTCTCGTAGGCTACGCGATGCTCCACTGAACACACAATGCTTAGAAAATAACGAAGATCACATGCACAAAAAAAGAGAACAAATCCGAGAAAAGCAATGAGCGCACAGGGTATATGCGTACGGGGTACCTCTTGGAGCCGAGTCTCCGAAAAACGCGACGCTCCACTAAACCCGTACCTGTTGCGCTCGAAGAATAGAACTTGGGATGTTAGGCAAATGTCTAAAAACCTCCAGAAAACTTCAAGAAACGTTTTTTATTTTAAATTTTTTGAAAGCGGCTTTTTCATCGGAAACGCTTTAGAAACAGCACAAATTAGCGGGCTCCGCCCGCTAATCCCGAATTTACTAGTTTTTATTATTAGGCATGCTGAAGCCAATTAAAAAGCAAATTTCCCTTTTAGAAACCTCAAAAACCTTCTTTTTAGGTATCCCGCTGAGCCACCTCTTCGGCTACAACAAGGGCCCCTGGCTCGCCAATTCGACGCAACACATTTTTGGCGGTTTCGCGAGGTATAATTCTAATATTTTAAACGTTAAAGGATTTGCTCATTGACTTCTAAAGTCTCCAAAATTGCAAAAAATGATTTTTTTCCACGTTTCCCGCACTTAAAATGGAGCGTGAAGAGGAGTTCTGACTTGCCTGTCATTTTCTGGTTGCGTGCTGGCGCGTCTCTGTTTTTATGTCTTCCCGAAATCACAAAAACGCCCGGGGCACCCCAAAAATTGTGTCCAACATTCTGATCTCTAGCGTTGGCCCGTAAAAAGCGCACAAAGCCCGCCAGCGAAACCATATTTGTCATCGGGGTTGAGTCATAGGAGGATGAGATGTCGTGCTCTTTCCGGTCTGGCGAAATACAGCGCCAAAAATGTCGAGAATTTCAAGACCAAGTTAAAATATTTTTTATTGGGGAAAAGTCATTACTTCGAAAACTCAGAGTTGCGAAAATCGGTGCTTGGAACAGTAATTACTTCAAAAATCATAATTTCAGGACAGCATAAGGTTCTTTCGCATTATCGGGGGAGGGGACGACGTTTTTCTAAGTATCCAATTTCTATGCATTAAATACTAAACTGATTTTACTATTTCTAAACGTAAGAACTTAGAAATTTTGGTTTAAATAGAAAAATATCGATTTTTCGACCAAAAATTTACCTTTTTACCTAAAATCACATAATTAGAAACCAAAATTCACTTAATAGATGTCGGGCTTTTTATTTTTTGTATTTAAAATATGGTTCAATTGTAATAAAGCACTATTATAACGCAAGTTATCGTGAATTTTGCAGAAACACTCGACAAAAGCGTGTGCTGGAGTGTTTTTGGCGCTTCAGCTTCTACACGGCCGCCTGGATCTACGGCATCTTCGTTTTATGGGTACATTCATGTTGTTGAAATCTAATTTTTGCTCGTCTAGGATAAGCCGTGGCTGTGGGACGTGAAAGAATGTTGGATCGGGTACCCGTTTCACGAGATCCCGCGATCGGTTTGGTGCGTTTTTGGTCTTTGGGCTGGAGGAGGGGCAATTCGTGGTTATAAAGATTGTTGCAACGGGCATTAAAATCATGATATGGCCAAAAATCAGAAGATTGCAAAAGCGCGAGCGTGGTCCTGATTAGCGGTTTGACCAGGTCGACGTTTTTCCGCCTTTTTTGAGAAAAAAAAAAGAGAAAACGGTGCTTATGAATTATCGGGGGGGGGGGGAGCGAATTTGTTGTCAAAAACCAAGAGGTGCCTAGTAATTTAATAGTAAGTATTTTAATAGTTTTTACTAAAATTTAGCATGTTAAACGGAAGGCTACCCAAAAATCCTCTAAAAGGTTTAAAGTTCGGCATCTTTGTTGAAAATTCGATATTTTTTGTGATTTTTAAACAAAATTTGTACAGTTTTTACGCTAGGAATGGTAAAAAACGGTTTAACCGTTCTTCTTTTGATATTACAAAAAGGATCCTAAAGAAAAAGTAGCTTTTTATAGGTGGTACTACACGTTGGAGGCGACATTCTACTACTCCCTCCTTCTCGGCGCATTTTTCGACGTGCGTCGCTCAGACTTTTGGCAGTTGATCTTTCACCACGTCGTGACGCTCGGTCTTCTCTCCGCCTCGTGGGCCATCAATTTTGTTCGGGTTCGTTTGCTATGGTTTCTTACCCTAAGAATATAAGCTTCATCCATTTTGACGTAGAAGCCCGTTTTTTTAGGTAGGAACCCTGGTGCTCGTCTCGCACGACATTGCCGACGTGTTCCTCGAGGGCGGCAAGCTTGTACGCTACGCCGGAAAGCATAAGATGTTGACCAACGTGTGCTTCGTGTTGTTCATGTCCAGGTAATTTTCATATTCTTAAAATTAACAAAAGCGATTTCGTTGGATCCTGACGCGCCTCACCTACTATCCACTCATCGTCATCCGGTCGGCCTTTTTTGACGCGGCCGACTTGATACAGCCCGATTATCAAATCTTCAACCCGTTGCAGGTATGGAAATTTTGGGATCTTTTGCAACATCGGGGGAGAGGCGAACTTTCCTAAGAACCTAATTTTTGAAAATAGACCGGTTTTTAGGTTCCCTACGTGCCGCGGTTGATCATCATCATGTTGGTCGCCCTCTTCCTGCTGCACATCTTCTGGACGTACATCATTGGAAAAGTGGGTGTAAAAAGGGTGTGAAACAAAGCCAAAACCCAAATAAAAGGCAGAAACCGAGGATCCAATCAAAAAACTTTTTCCAAGGTTCCGATTTTTCTGTTATAAATAGAGGAAATGCAGATGTTGTTGTTGATTTATCAACTGTTTTTTTACTATGGTGAAACGTAAAAACTACAACTTTCGATTAGAAATGCCAAAAATTGGGGTTTTCCACTACAATTTCTACTAAACATTCTTTCTAAGGTATTTGTTGTTGGTCTTTCGACTTAAAATATAGTTAAAATTTGCTAAAAGCACTATTAAAACCCTTACTGTTACGTTACTAAAAATTTCTGGACTTACAGAAAAAAAAGTTAGTTCAGGGTAATGAAAAAGAACCGGTTATAACCCTAAAACACCTTTCAGATCGTCGTGCGGACGATACAAGAGGGTGAGGCGGCCGATGTGCGCTCCGACAGCGAGGACGAGGCCGAGGAGCAGGAAGTCGTGGGTTTAATGAAATGTTTACTAATAGATAGGAATTCAGGTTAAAGTTTATAACTCAATAAGGGGATAAGAAAAAGATAAAACACGCCATTTCAGCGCCGGAAACGACTCACAAAAACGAAACAACAAACGAAGAAGGAAGACTAAACGTTTTATCATTGTCTACATTTTTTCACCTTGCTTTTTATCTATTATCCTACAAGCCTTTACGAACATGCTTTACAAATCCCATCACTTGGCTTTAATACAAAATCATCATCGACCCCGGAATGTGATCTGCAAGTGCCAAATCTTTATTTTCGTCTCTTTTTGCTTTGACTTCACTTGTTTTGCCGAAAACGGGACCAAATCAGCCCAATCCCCCCGTCAGCGTGTGCCGATCTCACAGCAGCAATGGCGTTTTTTAGTCTATTAACTAAATTTATTAAAGCTTTAAGGATAAACGTATATTTGGCAAAGCGAAATACACAAAAATGAAAGAAAGAAAGAGACAAAGCCGCGTACACGCAATGTAATTCTGTCCCCAGTGCCGCAACGCGGCCGCGACGCACAGCCGGCCAAGGGTTTATAAATACGCATTTATTCTTAATTTATTCCTTTAAATGAATAAAATGCACCTAATTATCACCCGTGAAAGCCAAGGAATTCAATAAAGTTCAAAGTTCAAGCGTGGGAATGAGTTGGCGGGATTTAGAAAGCGACAGTTGACAAAATACATCCATATAACTCACAATACGTCTAAAAAAGTAAACGATAGATAGACAATTTACTAAAAAGCAGTTAAAACTACAGTAACCTGGGAAAGTCCCCGGAAATCAGTATCGGCTCGTCGACAACCATGGTTCGAACGCCCTTCTGCTTTCTTTTATAAAAGGGGAACAGTTGCTGGTCCGTGGCGTAGCGTGGCGTCGTCACGGCGTCGAAAAATTTCTTCAACGCCGGAATTATCGGATTCTCGGTAGTTACGGTGGTTTCTGAGGGTGGGCTTGTGGTTGTCACTTCCGGGATGAGACTAAAAGAGACCGGGGATCACAATTTCACTGGTGATCAAACGTCGAAAAATGAAATCTTAAAATCGTCATCGTATATCGTAACCCCGAAATTTACATGGTAGTCCTCTGGTCGACGCCCTGAAGGAGGTCGGCAATGGTCTGAATGTTCCGCTCGGTCTCGAGCAGCTCAGCTTCGGAGATGTTTTGCGCCGGCCTCACGCGGGGTTTCGCTTCGTAGGCGATGTTTCGCGAGGCTTTGGAGAGGAAGATTTCCTGAGAATGGAATGATTGGACATCATCCGCAAAAAGCCAGGCCTAAGCCGAAGCCTAACCTAAGCCTAAACCTAAGTCTAAGCCCAAAGCTAAGCCGAAACCTAAGCCTAAGCCTAAGCCTGAAAACCTCCATCACCTACCGGTGTCGCAGTCGCATATGCAGCCACAAATCGACCGTCCTGCTCGATTTTGCACGTCAATTCCCCCACGAAATGGGCCCGGATGGCAAAGTCGTCGATGCCGACGACAGATTCGAACGGGACACCGAATCTGGAGAAGGTTAAGACGAATTCGAAAGCACGACCCACGTGGCCTCGGCGTCTTTTTGGATCTGGTTGGCGATCAGTTGCACCGAGCAGCCGTGGAACCCTAGGCGACGTCGCAGCTTCCGGAAGCTTTTGCGCATGATCAGCTCCAGCCGCTCGCTGCAGCACATGTAGCCTGGAAACACGGGTAAAGGTAAGCCTAAGCCTAAGGCTAGCATAAGCCCAAGCCTAACATAAGCCTAAGCTTAAGCCTAGAGCTAAGCCTGAGCCTGAGCCTAAGCCTAGACCTAAGCCTAAGCTAAGCCTAAGCCTAAGCTTCATAAAATACAGCTTACCATCTCGATTCGCGTAGCAATTCTGCCCGTGCGTCGCGTTCATAAACGGCCTACGGAATCCCGGCTAAATTTTTCGTTTCAAAAATTTGATTTTGTTCTCTTACCGTATCTTCCGTATCCAACGGATGCTCGTCGATATCGGCTTCCGGGCGTTGCCAATCGACGGCTTCAGGTGGTGCTGGGGGTACAGTACTTGGGTCGGCGAACATCCTGAAACCGTTTATGTGCAAAAATTGCCGGAACTTCATAATCTCGGAGTTTTGTAAATCCGTAATAGTTGAACATCGAGTTAGCTAATGGCGAAATTATAGAAAGTCGACATTTCTGAACGTCGAAATTTCGTAATTTATGAAATACGACGTTTTCTGTTTTTCTATATGATCTCGAAGCGGCTTACTGTTCCGGTTCCGGAAATTGGTCCACCGTAGCGGCGACATGTTCCGGTAGTGGGGTTACGGTAGTCTCTACAGGAGTAGCCGCCGGAGATACCGGATCCGGTGGCGGTTGGAAGAACTGGCTGGGCGGTGGGGCGATGTCGGTGAGCAGCTAGAAGAGGAGGGAGTGAGAGAGATAGCGAGAGTGAGAGAGAGAGAGAGAGAGAGAGAGAAAGAAAGGGAAGCAAAGAAGAGAGATCACCTCTTGGAGCCCGTCATCCGGGTCCTGGAATACGGTAGAGCTGCGCTGGAGGGCATATCCGTAATTCTGAGCGTTATTTGGTGTCCATTGGACTTCGGTGATTAACGGGGAGGAGACCACTTTCCGTTTGGGTCCTATGAATTGGCCCTCACGGCTCAGGATTGGGATGGCACGATCTTGGGTGGAGACGCCGGAGACGCTGAAAAATGGAATTTCCCTCTCTCCCTCTCTCTCGCTCTCTCTCACTAACTCTCTGCCTACCGTCTCCCCTGTAGCCTTTCGTAGATTATCCCATCCTTCACATAGTACTTTAACGGACTCCATTTCATATCGATTGCATGGCGGGGCAACATGAATGGCTGCGAGGTCGTGTCCGCCAACTCGTCGATGGCCTCCTATTCAATCAAAGTTTCCCATCCCAAATTTCCTCTGCCAGTCTGCCAGGCAGCCAGTTTTCTCAAGAGACCACTGCCAGAATGCCAACCTGATATTTCCGCTTCAACGACCGCTGCTCCTCATATTCGATCCGATCGCCTAGGCTCTGCTCCGACGAGTCGTAGCGCCGTGAAATTCGCTAAAAAGCACGTTAGATCAGTTTAAAAATAGTCAAAAGGCTTCGAAAATGAAGCTTACATCCTCGATCCTGCTCAGCTCGCGGTTCAGCTCCTGGATCCGGTGCTCGAGGGCGGATTTTTGGCGGCCAATGTCCGGGATCGGGGTTAGGGGGCGGATCGGGATCTGGGAAAAGTTATTTGTACGGAAAGTCCTTGGAAAAGCGACAAACCAAGCCTAAACCTAAACCTAAACCTAAACCTAAGCCTAAGCCCCAGCCACTCACCTTTTCCCTGGACCCCTTCTTCGGCCCAGATTCCCCGTCAACCGTGGAAAGTGGCGGAACTTTCAGGTATTCCGCCGTCGTTAGCGGCCCCGAATACGCCGAAAATAGAATCGGGCGGGTACGTCCTAAATTATTTATGTGTTTTAAGGTTATAACGTTTAAAATTTTAAATTAGCTCACCTCGCCTCGCATTCGCTGGGCGTTTTTTTTAGCCTTCTTCTTCGCCCTCCTGCTCTTCCTCGCCCGCCGAGCTCGACTCCCCGCCTTTGCCGTCGGCCCCTCGGCGCGGTGCTAAAAAAATAGGCTAGCTATGTTTTTGTATTATAATTACTTAAGTGTATATTTTGCACTATTTACTTTTCCATTTATTCGCACCGTATTCGCACCGAACTCCTTCAAGTTGGGCGCCTTCCGGCGTCGCTCCGCTTGGTCGAGAAGTAGTGTTTCTAGAAATTTTTTATATATCAATTAATGATTTCATTTAAGCTATCTTATTATTTTAATACGTATCTAATTTTAAAAAGTTTAATCAGGTGAATAAAATAGCATAACTATTTACCGTATTCTTCGGGTAGCGATCGTCGATTGGGAGACTTTGGTTGAGGCGGAGTTTCTAAAAATTCAGATGAATGGAAAATTCAACCAGGAATGCCGAAAACCAAAATGCCGACATCCAGAAAGTCGACACTAAAATACCGACAACAAAAATACCGACACGCCATAATTTCGACTTCGAAAATGCGCCGCTGACCGAAATACTAACAGCAACACCTTTGTATCAAAACGTCGACAAATTGAAAATATCGACGGCGAAGATGTCGAAACGGAAAATGCCGACAAGAAAAGGCACTGTCAGCAAAGATATTTGAAATTCAAAATGCTGACACGCGAAAATGCC